CCCTCCAGCAGCAAAAAACTTGACTATTACACATCATGTTTCTCCAAGAGCGCAAGGAATGCAGGGAGGATCTTTCAAACAGTCTTTGGGTGTGATTTTCTGCAAGCAATCGTCATGAAATGTGTGCCCACAAGGTAGAACGGCAGCAGCTGGTGGGATAGGTGGCTGGTACATTCGGCCTTCAGTTGTAAACGAGATATCCCTCTTGCACAGGAAACACTTATGTCCACTTGGCTCAATAGGTTCATCAGAGCCTACAAAGGAAGAAAGCACTACATAAATAAAACTTGGGGAAAATAAAAACTGCAATTTTGAGATTAAAAAAGAAAAAATATTATTCCTCGGTTCTTCTATTGGTATCTGAGGAATACAATTAATAGAACGCGAAAAAATCAAATATATCAACTCTTACCTTCCCATTTTATATGAAGAGGAGCTTCAGGTGGAATCTGTCTGGTTGCTCTTATAGGAGCTCGAGTAGATGGAAAACTCGGCGTTTTGCTAGTGGTCGGCTGATGTATAACAGCAGGTCGAGGACTTATCTTTCTACGTTGAAGCAAGCGTTCATTTGAAGGGTTTACAGTTTGTTGTCTTTTCAAACGTGGACGAGAAACAATGCCATGGGGCCCAACCCCATATTTTGCAAGTTGAGCAGCCTGACCTGTAAAAACCAAATATATTTGTACCACAACAGCGCCTCCACTAACTTCAGTATAAATATAGAACAGATGAAAAATGCATACTGCTTGAATAATCGGGCCTTGAAGAAACAGTAGGCACTTGAGCAGGCACTGCATGCTGATGCTGGCCTATATTGATAAATAAGCATGTATAAAAGCAATATATTAGGAAAGGTCTCTCATGAATTTGATTACACTGAAGTACCTGATGGAACTATGGGTCTAACAGGGTAAGCATGAACTGGTAGACGGGTTTCAGGAATGGCTACACAAAACAAAAGTATCAAAAAACCATCCAAAAGCTAGAAATTTTCCATAACTATTTCGGGAAGGACAAATGGATAAAGTTGACAAGCAATATCAATGGCTGATATAGGTCAATAAAGGTTGCGGAATATTTCACTAGTACATTTTAGTAGGTGCTGATTACAAATAAATTTTCATGATTACTAGTGCCTGAGGCAACTCATCTTTCCCCTTATTTTAGCATTAATATTTTATTTATTTTTTGGTACCATTATAAAAAATTCATACTCGACCACACGTGGATGGCTCATCTGTTATATATTTTAATAGCAGTTCAGTAGAAACAACAACTTTGGTGCATGAATTTTCAAACCAAGTGAAATTTCTATGTTTTCTCAATTATAAACCCAAAGGTTTCACAACGAAAAAAAATATAATTTCTAAATAAATCTGGCCACAAATGTATCAAGCTTCATATCATTCAACCTATATACTGACCTCCAATGGTTTGAGGAGTAGGCTCAGCAGGTTGAACACCAAGCCTCCTAGGGAATGTGGCCGCAGACTGGATTGGGCTGACTCTTGGAATTGGGTATGCGAATCTATCAGATATTAAGCTACTACCAGCAATAGAGCTGACATTATGACAATAAGGTGTTTGCCCTGATGAGAAATAAATTGGAGAGAGAGAGAGAGACTCATCATTAGACAGGACCCTTAACGATTACGTGTAAATGCTTGTTCTGATGAACAGTATAATAGTGGCCAACTACTATTTATCAGAAACTTGACTTTACGAATGAGGAATTTTAAATGAGTTCCAACTCCAATTGGTATATGCTCCACATTTACTTAATTCTTGCTTCTCACAAAAGAATAATTCCTGCAGAATGAATATTTCCAAAAAAAGGTACATGCTTAACAAATATTTGATTTATCTAACCTCTAAAAAGACAAGAGTACACCTTTGGCTATCTCATAAACCAAGATGAGTTCTCGGATCTGCAACACTTCTAGAAAGGACTCAAAGAAGTTCAACATTACTCAAAAACTAGAGTCCACATACCAATCACAGTAATTAAATTGACACCCACTTGAGAAACTTTTCAGATTCTGAAACTTATATTTACCCCCAGAGTATCAATCAAACGTCCAGCAAAAAAAAGCAAAGGTGGTGAAAATTTTGGAATAAATAAGGCTAAAGTATAGAATTTTGAAAAATGGTCAAAATATCTGCAATTGATAAATGCACTCACCAACTGGTTGAATATTTGATGGGGAAGGAGAAGTGTTAGCGAATCCTGTACTGGTGGCACCTTCTTCTTGCAAAGACAGGTTCCCTTCACACATAGGAAAAAGAGAGAAGAAAAAAAAATAATAACTAGTGACTTACGAAGAATACTAGGGAAATTTCTAATAAGCTAAGACAAATGCATATCCTTTCTCATACTTCTACTGATTAACTCTAAGAAACAATTGTCTCCATTAGTGCAAGAGCTTGTGAGACTGAAATTGAACCTTACCAACTGGCACTGGTTGAACACTCCTTGGAAAACAAACACTACCAATATTTCGGGGTCGTTTAGCTTCTGCCAGTGGCATTAATCTTCCTGTATGAATAACTCCATAGCAAAAGCTTTAGATAAGAGCAAAGGATTTGCAAAAATCAACAACAATATCATGGTTGCCAATGTTCACCCTTCCCATCCTAGACAAATAAAAATCACACTTGACTCGGTTCATCTTAAATTTACATAATTTTTTTCCACTGGCAAGATTGGTGATTTTAGAAGATAATTACTGTAAATTTACATTATTATGGAATTGGAAGTAAAGATGAACATATAGACGAAATCGCATAATAATCAGTCCATCCCGGAGAGGACGCTCTCAGATATTTTATCCAGAGAGGGAGAGATAGTCTCACCTAGTTGCTCATGACCCACGGGGCTTCCTTTGTACCATGCAGATTCAGAAGGCGCATTTATGGAACTTCTGCTGTTGTAATGTTGTTGAAGACGAATACCTTGCCTCGAAAAAGATGTAGGCCTAGGCATTTGAGTCCCCAACAGGTTCTGGTTGACAAATCCACATTGAGGGTTTATAGGAATTACAGAAGGCGACAATGATGAATTCAGGTTAAACCCAAAATTATCATACGTTGTTGGAAAGTTAGAGCGTGGATTAGCTTGTGGAGCCTGGAAACCAGGAAATTGGATTGGATTTATCTTTGACCTAGTGTCTCCATAATGTACACCTTCAACACGGGTGTCGGCTAATGAGGAGCTTGATAATGCACCAACATTTGATTGCCAGCCTACTAATGGAGTAAGACTCGAAGGGTTCGTTGGAGTTTGTCCAACAATAGGAACCATATAGTGGGATGGTAGAGGATCCGCCAATTTACTGGCAATTTCTCGAGTACTGAACTTACTATTGGATTTGGTATCCATACCACCTCCTATGCCAAGACTAAGAAAATTTCCATTGACAATTTGTTGAGAGCAATTTGGATAAGGCAGCACGGATGATGTGCCACATTCGAAAGAAGGAGAAGGAGAAGAACTCATAGGTAACCTACAAATTATGCTATTTCTATCTTCTCTTCCATGAGCCTTTATGGGATAACCTGAAACCAACTCACACGACTGTGGCATGAAATTGATGTCCGCCTCTAGTTTTTTATAATTCACTGAACAATCAGCAGGGACGGTATTACTTTCATCAATTAAATCGTTAAGTTCGCTCATCATCACCTCCGGATACGAGGTTTGAGACACTTCATTGAAGTCAGACTTGTCATCTAAAAATTTGATATCAATGAAATTTGCATCAGTCTTGGGATCTGTTAAGCGGTTCAAATCCAAACACAACCTCTTGTTTTCAGTCTTGAACTCGGAGAGGTATGAGAAGCAATCTCCTTGTACATCATTCTGATGAACATCAGGGAAACTCACTGAACCAAATTGGTAAAACTTAATATGGCCAGGATCATCAGCTCCACCTATCATAGTAGTTACAGAATCGAGGTCTTGCCCTTCCCCTGTGGCAGTTAAGGCAGGTGGGTTCCACATACCATTTACTTAGTGCAACCTATGTAAAGTTACGAGACAAGAACCATGTTATCATGCAATTTCTGAGAATATTTGGAGCGACAAACACACTAGACTCAACAGACATGCAAAGTTAGGATAGACTCAAATAATTAAAATCTTCTCCAGGAATATGATATTTTTCTTTTTCTGATTCCTGAAAATTTTAAGCAACGCAGAAATGCTATTGACACCTAGAGAACAAAGAATTGCGGAACTGGCCTCTTAAAAAATTGGACCTGTTTTATTCCCAGCTCATAAAAGTTAACAAATGACTTCAAATATTCCAAGCAATTAAAGTTTCCTATGCTCCAAAAAGAGCTATGGATGCAGACCAATAGATATAAAAAACAGCTCGTACATGGGCTCAATCGCTTGATGAAAGGATTTGATTAATTTGGGGTTGATAGTATCAAATGCAAATAACATAACAAATCACATTCATTTGCAATGTCTGGGAACAGACTTTCTCCACCATCCGACAGTGGACCATTTTAGTATAAGCCAACTAGCTTAAGTTAAGTTTTGAGATCAAGAACAAGAATTACATACAGGACTTTCAAAATCATAATGCATTGAGAACTGCCACGCACAATCGTGTTCTACAACAGCTATACAAAAATAAGAACACATAGAAGTCATTCCCCACAGGAATGATGACAAGGCAAGGAATTTTATGCATAGATGACACGAAGAAATTAACTTTTTTTCTCCCCAACAACAAGAAAATAAGAACTACACCACAGAGATGCTTGCACATGTAAAAAGCATATACAAAAATTTTATAAGACATACAAACAAGTAACTAAACAAGGATCAAAAGCATGTGAGCCGTCTAAAAATGCGTCAAACTCTGAAAATAGTAGAATCAACAGTCAAGAGTTCTTCAAAAGTTGAATCTCATTAAATATATAAAAAAATCTAAAATAATCCCCAAAACAAAAACAACACTTTAAGCATATATATATGCAGCAATTTCATTGTTCCATGAGGACAAATAAACACAAATTTTCAGAAGCCCAATATGCCAAATTAGAAGAAACTTTTTCACAATTTCAGTATTTTCATTATTAGAGTTCAAATAAAACTCTTCCACCAACATCACATCCCAAAAAAAAAGTTAAAGAGAAAAAAAGGTAAAAAAAAGTTGTAGCAAAATCAAATTAAAAGAAAAAAATGATGACAATAACCCACAACCTAGTCTACCCATAAACCAATAATTCCACACCATCATCATCATCATAATCAATCGGCAGATAAACCATAATCCCTTCAAACCACAACAAACCAAACCCACGAGTCCAGCCTGCGAAGAATTAAGGAGGATTTTTCCACAATTTCATACCAGCGATAAAGAATTGAGATGGCATCCAAACTGATTCCTGATCGGCGGAGGAAAAAAGGAACTTCAAAGTGATGACATATGCGACAGGCGAGCAAGAGCGTTTAGAAAGAGAAGTTTGTAGAGAGAAATAGAGGAAGAGAGGAGAGAAGGTGTGCAAGTGTGAGTGTATTTTTTTGGCGCTTAGGTGTATGAGGAGAGAGGTTTTAAAGGGTTCGGTCGTGGGCCCACGTTTAACCTTTTGAGGGGAGGAACACGTGTCAGAAATTGAGGCCATTTCGTGCCCGATATGTTGTGCTGACGTGTCCCGGCAAATGAATGAGCTTGAGCCGCCCGGGTTTAGGCGCGTCTGGTGGCGTTAGACCAACGCGAAAAATCTTGGTCTGCTCATGTCAAAAATGTGAATGAGGAGATTTGATTTGGGGAAAAATGAATTAAATATATATAATCAATATTCATTTTGCGGCCACGCAGAGAGAAGATAGGAGTAATGAATTTGGAACGAGAAAGTAGGGAGGAAATAAGTTCATGGATTTAAAAAGTAGACTGCATGTTGTACCAAAAATAAATAAATAAATAAAATAAAAAAATAGACTGCATGAATCGTTTCAAGTTATTTTAAACTTTGTAGATTATTGATGTTTATAATTTTTACTATTATTTTATTGTTATTAGGGGTGTGTATCCATTGGTTTGCTAAATGAATAGACCGAACTCATAAAAACGAATTAATCGAATTTGATATTTTCTAAAATTGAACCCAAAACCAAATCGAATAAAATGTTTAATTTACATGGTTAGATGAATTGATAGCATAATATTATAAATTTATAATGTAATTAGATATATTTAATTTTATTTTCATTTCATATTTTATATTATTTGTACTGAAAATAAGTATAAGTTGTTATAATTATTTTTAGTATAATTTGATCGATTCAACTAATTCAAACATTTTAAAAATAAAACTAAATGGAACCGTAATTATCAAAATCATAAAAATAAAATATAACCAAACAAACAAAAAAAGCAACCATTTGCACACTACTAGCTATTGTAACATAACCAATGGATTTGGATGGTCATCTCATTTCAAATTTCATATCATTATATTTACTTATTGTCTTTATGTAATTATTGGGAAAACATATGCAATTAGCATAGATGACTATGGAAAGTTGTTTAGTCAATCTCTCTCTCTGCGTTTTCCCCTGAAATAAAACTTAGCACCGTTTCGTCCTCTTCTCTCAGCCGCGCCTCCTTGCCTCCGCCGGCCGCTCCTCTGTGCAGCGGAGATGACCAGCTTTTAGGCGATCTCAGGGTTGCTGCCAATTTTTGGTCAAATCTCGCGGACCAGCTCCTACTCCTCGGCGGGCAGCTTTCGTCAGGCAGGCCGACGATTGGTGGTTGGTGTTGTTTCGTGTGCGCCGTTTTGTCGCCCTTTCGATGGTCGGTGCTAGGTCTGGCGGTGTCACTTCTCCTGGAGTTTGTTCGTTCCCTGGGGGTGGGGTTGGTGGCCGGTCTCCTCCGGCAGGCTGGGGAGCTCCTGGGCTTTTTTTTTGGGGAGAGGTGATATTGGCGGGTCCCAGAGCAGTTTTTTTGGGGTGTCTCACTTGAAAGGAGGATTCTGCTTTGTTGATTTACGTCGAGTTAGCCATAGTCATCTGAGTGTCGAAGTTTGGAGTTGGAGACTCGTGTTGGGGGCTTTGATCTTTCTTTTTTCATGCTATCTTTGGTAGACATGTCCAAGGGCCGCCCCGCCCGGCCCCGGCCCGGTCAAACCCGTTGACCATGGGTCCAGGACCGGACCGGATTCCAGACGGGCCGTTTAGGGGTCATCCATTTCATGACCCGGCCGGGCCAGGTCAATGGCCCTCTTTTTCTATTTTTTTTTTATTTTTTCTATTGTTTTTTAAAAATGACGGACCCGGCCCGAACACGACCCGGCTCGGTCAACCGGACCATTGACCCGACACGAGTATAGGTCCGTGCCGGGTCCGGGTCAGTGTTTTCGAGTCGGGTGGCCTGGGTTTTGACCATGTCTAATCTTTGGTTATCTTTCGCTGGGTACGGAGTTCGTTTCTGGCGGAGGGTTTTATTCTATTGTATAGTTTAGGTGTGGGTTTTTTTTCTGCTTGTTTTTCTTCTTGGTTTTGTGTTTTAGTCCAATTGTGTCTGGATTTTAGACTCCTTTATAGAAGCAACAGGGCGAGATGCGTGACTTTCCAAAGGACGTTTATATGGAAGAGAATGTTGACGATGGCGCCGATCCGAAGTACTATGAGGAATTTTCTGAGTGATGTAGTGAGGTTGTTGTGCAACAAACAATTATCTGTTTTTGGGTGTTCGTTTTTTGAATATTTGGTTTATTTTGTGGCCTAGTTTATGGCATTTGCTTGAACAGTTGCATTTTGTGTTTTCTGCAGGATGTAAGAACTACGTGTGGTTATTAATGCCTTAGGATATTATGTTTCATGGTTATTACTAGTGTTTTGTCTTATTGCAGGGAATGGTTGATTATGATCTGTTTTGATTTATTTTGCATAAGAACTTTGAGTGAATGTTCTTACATGTTCAATTTGTCATTATTTTGATCTTGCTATGAAGTTAACTTATTTTTGTAAATACAAGAAATAGAGTTTTCGAACTGAATGCTAAAGGAGGAAATTGTTAGGATTTTGAATTAGCATAATTTAAATAATTTCTTTTTAGCTAATTATATTCTTTGTAAGTCACCTTGAAAAAGAATCAAGACAAAATAAATGGGAGATTAACTTACTTATTAAGTTGCCTTATATTTTAATTGTTGAATATTGAGTTAGATATATTTTAAATTTGCTTCCTTATTTAGTGTAGGAACATGCTGGAGAGGATCTGGACACGGCTGGTGACATGGACACGAAATTAACACGGATGGAAAGAGAATCATGGAGATATGGAATAGCTAGTATAAGATCAGTCGAATCTCACAGTTAAGGAAAGTCGTGTTCTTACATGACTTTGGACCTTTCAAATAAAAAGTAATTTTTGAAGATCTTGAAGACTTTGCGATGAAGGAAACTTAACATTAATGAATATTTTGAAGAGATTTTACCGAAGAATGATGCATATATATATTCAAAATTCTTCACCATTGTACAGTAGCAATTGAGAAAGAGAGAGATCGTGACATTTTGAGAATTCTAAGAGTTTTTGAGAGCTTAATTTTCATTTTATTTGATAGTTTTAGTTGAGCTTTCAGTTCGTGTTCTTACGGGCTAAAAGGTTGACGTCTTTCTTTTTATTTTTATTTTTTACGACACTTGAAAAAGTGCTCGTATACCTGTGGAGGGATTCATTATAGGTTTTGAAGTCTACGAGTTTGCTAGAAAAGTAGCTGAGAAAGTGGAGTGTACGGGCAATAAAATCATACGAGAGTTCCAGTCTCGCATATATGTAATATGCTACATGCGCCCGAGTTTAAATTGCTTCAATATTTTATTTTGTATTGTATTGCTACATAGAGACGCTCACGTGCACTTCCCGCACGGTTTAGATTACAACTGTCATCACTAGCATCTTACGAGCTTTTTAGTTTTCTTAGTATTAGTATTTTCTTTAATTCGACCGAATAAGAATTTTAAGATTTCAAATTTTAAATCTAACTTTTTGGCAAGCTAGCAAAAGGACATTTCAAAAAATATTCTAAACAGTCGGAGCAAGAATTTTTCTTGAGATGAAGAGATTGAACATTGAGACACGGATTAGTGTAACAAAAAATATTATAAAAAATAATCCATACTTCATGGAGTAGATAATACATGCCAAAAAACATATAAAAAAAAGAATGTCAAAATAATAAAGTGGGGTTGAGTATTGAACATATTAAAAAGATAATATTTTTCACACCACCACAAGACTTGTCTAATTAAGATGATATGGAACTTGGAAGCCACCAACACAAAAGAAATTTAGAAAGGTTTGATGACTTTTGTTGCTTTTATTTTTATATACAACTATTCATCCTAAGTTATAAAAGGATTTGTGCTATTGGAAAGTGACGAGATCCAAATTAAGGATGGTTGGAAATTGGAATCCAATAGTAAAACAACTTAGCAACAGGCATAATAACATTTGCTATTGTTGTCCACTAAGAAAATATCCACAAAGATTCCAAGGCAAATGACAGTCAGAAAGCATGAAGCACCAGACTAAGAAAATAATGCATTCTTGAAATGAAATTTGCTATTACTTAAATAATTCTCAACATTAGCCAACTCCACGCTAAATTTCACCCTAACCGTGTAGACATTTTTTTTTTTTTTTTTGAATTTTAATCATCAGATCCACACACAAACACTTATGTTTCTGATCTAACGGCAAAAATCCCCATAAGGGCAATGCTCATAAGGTTAAGTTCGAAATGTCCCAATTCTTGTTGATCTGAGCGTGTTCATCGAGCAATTTCTTCATGTAGCCATGCACGAGAGAGAGAGTTTATTTTGTTATCTGTTGGTTTTTATGTTTTAATGAACACATGAGTCACTTATAGACTCGTGTAGCGCTTTTCTTGTTATTGTGAGTTTTATCTTAGACACGTGTCAGCTTTTTCATTGGTTATGTTTTGTTTGAGCTGTGGGAACATATTGCAGTGTATGACGATCATCGTTTTAATAATTTTAGATTTGAAGAAAAAAGAGCTCTAAGCTCGTTGAAAATGGTTTACGAATTTCTCTTTTGATTTTACATTTTCACTACAAAATTCCGATCTCTGCTGTTCTACATGGTATCCAGAGCAGGTTGATTACATAAACTTCAATGGCGAACAACAGAGAAACGCATGGACGAGAGATTGTACGGAGCAACTATTCGAGAGACATCGATCCATTGTCTCTTCATGGATCTGATCACCCTGGTATGATTTTGGTCACAAATCAACTCACAGGTGCAAATTACTTGCACTGGAATAGAGCGATAAAGCTAGCGCTGGGAGCAAAATCGAAGCTCGGCTTTATAGACGGAACAGTAGAAATTTCAGAGAAAAACACAGAGGACTACAATCAATACAGGAAGGTAGAATCTATGGTTATATCTTGGCTGTTAAATTCTATCTCGAGGGAAATCATTGAAGCATTTATGTATGTTAAGACTGCCAAGCAATTATGGGATGAGCTAGCTGAGAGATAAGGTGAA